CCTCTCTCTCTCTCTCTCTCTCTCTCCTACGAGTGCGCGTGATTGTCTTGTGTATAATATTATTAAGAGTGTGTATGTTTGTGTGTTTGTGTGTCTGTGTGTGGTGCGTGCGAGCGTGCTGGTCGATTCATAATGCGTTTGTATTTTATGGGGCGGACTTGTTAATTGATATCGGTATTATAATTTCCTTCCGTCCTCGCGCGCTCGACACAGTGTAAATCAAACGGCTGGTTGATTGGGCACTCTGCTGGCGTGGTCTGTTTTATGGACTGCTCTCCACAGGCGTGCAGAAATTAATATATATCTGGCTTTTTCTTTATATATTATAATGTGAAAAACAAGAGTTTGATTCTCAAGTGTGGAATTTATTGGGCATCCTCGGCTTTCTGCTGAGATTTATATATTAGCACAAACTGGGTCAGAACAGCAAGCATCATCCTTTAAGTAGCCTAAATTGAGTTGGAATAACTGAGATAAAATCAGGCAAGAACAGACAGCAGCTGTAGCTACAACGACAATAGAAGCAACAAGAACAGAAGCAGCAGCACAAGAAGGACTGCAAGATTGGAGCAACAACCACAACTGCTGCATCATCAGGAGCAACAGTGGCAGCAACAATTACAGTGCAACAGCGCAACTTCAACAACAACAACAGCATCAACCGCAACAGCATCAGTTATAACAGTAACAACAGCAGCAGCAAAAAACAACAATAGCAATAGCAGCATAAATAACAGCACAACAACAACAACAACAACAACAACAACAACAACAACAGGAAAAACTACAACAATAACGTAAATGTTACAACAACAACGATAGTCCGCAATAACAACAACAATAACAGAGAAACGTATCTTCAGCTCGAAAGAAATGTTGTTGTTTTTTACTAGCCGTTTCTTCAAGTGAAAAACCAAAAATATGATTTTCTTTCATTTCTGTCAACTCCAGGTTGTCGACTCGACGTTCTTTGTCTATCTCTTTTGGTTATAGAAACATCTTTCGCTTTTAAATTCCGTCTGTCTTTCATTCTGTTTCAGTTTGGTTGTCAGAATATTAAAATATTGATTTAGTTGAAATTCTGGTTTGTAATGATGCTGGTATTATAATAATGTAGGCCTTCTTTGAAACTGTATGGAATTGAAACCAAGCTTACCCCCCC